CACAAAATACATTATACACTTTTGCAATATTTCACATTATCAAGTGAGTGAAATTTAGACTGGGAAGTTGGGTGGACTGTCTGGGCCTTCTAGGCCTATGCGTCCTTGCATTTTATTATTGCCAATATCCCTCAATGTGTTAATCTGCTGGAAGCAATTATTTAAAAAAAAGCCTTATAAATATCATGTGTCATTATTAGTAGTAGTCCCAGATGTAGAAGTAGTCAAAGCTGTTGTATCACCATTTTGAGTAAATATGAATGAACCTTCTTCCTTTAAGATCTTAACAAAGTTCTTTGTGTATGCACTAATCTTACATAGTATATAATCTTACAAGTGTTCTCAGTGCTTTTACACATGTCAATGTCGTTAAAGGTTGCCATCCATATAACACTATACTCCAAACACTGAAGGCAATTTGGAGGCAGTGATGTTGGGACAGTCATTTAAAGACTAATGAGGACACCTAGTGGTTGCTGTGTGTGGAGGACTACATAATGTATAAAAACTGGGATTTAAATCCCATTAAAACCTCAATGTGTTCTTTTCCTCCCATTTGTTCAGTAAACTTGAAAGTTAAAATATTCCTGCATAAAGAACACAGATAGACTCATGTTGTATCAGCTTGAATTATGTCATATTACAATGGATTCCAAGGCCACAGCAGAGAAGAGGCACTGCGGCATCCACAGAAACTTCACACAGCTCTCATGAAGCATAATCCACATCTCTGCGGTCCAGTCCTGGCCGCCGTAAATTCCAAACAATCAAAAACACAGCTACCAGCAAAGGTCTTGGAAGGACAATAGCACGATCACGTATAATCATAAGACTGCAGGATTTGTAGACTACAAACTTTTAACAGTCACCTTTCAAGCCCTCAGGAGATTAGTGTTTGATACTCCATAGATTTTTGGTTGCAACACTTTAAGAGAAAGGCTTTTTGATTGCTTGTTGACTGGCTGGTGGAAAAATAAAATAGCTTTTATAATCATTTTAACTTTGCCTAAATCTAATAATTGACTAGTTTAAGAATAAAAAATAATATACACTATACATATATTGTTATACTGGCTTAATCTTCAGATTAGCCACCAGTGAAAGTAGAATTATTTTTCTTTACCAAGTTAAATCTGAAAAGGCAGCAGGAGTTACTGACCCTATTGTGAACGAGTGTGAGCCTCAGGTCTGGTTTTATAATGGCGTAGGCCATCAGCAGGTCCTGCACTTTCTTCAGTTCCTCCTTGCACTTCTTGGTAGAGGAATAGTACTGCCGTCTCACTGGGAGATTCTTGAAAAGCTTCAGTACACTCACTGTTGTACCTGTAAAACACAAACATCAGAGGGTTGCAACAGCTTTGGCCATACAACTTACTTTTCCTGCTACAAGGCTGCATCATTACATTTTATAAAATCCCTTTAAGACCTGTACATCAACAAATCAATTGGTCCGTTTCTGGCCAAATGACCAATTATTTTGCCTTTTGCAAAGCATCAAATGCCTTTCTACTTTATTCCCAAGATCTTAATAAACCGTGTAATTCAATCATGGAATAAAAAAGTAACTTCATAATCGTAGTACAGGAGATAATGTGACTGCTGGTGGAGCCAAACGTCAAGCAAACTAGTATCTAAGTCTGTCGGTGACATGGCAATGCACTTTCTGTTCAGCAGCTAAAAAAATTAAAACTGCTCTCACTTTGTCTCGATGTGTGACAACAGCTTCAAAGTTCCACTCTAACATTTCATCATGAAAGCAGTCCTTGATTTTGTTGCTCACTATGAGACTGATTCAGTTGGTGCCTTGCCTTGACCCAAGTGAGACGGCTTCTGAGAAACAATCTCCCCTGTGAAGTTAAGGGTGTACTGGGTGCTGATGTCATCCTCCTCTGTCTTTGTGATGACAGCCACCTGAAGGGAAAATGCAGAATAATCCATCACATTGCCAGCCAGTTTATATGCTGCAAGAAACCAGGTTGTATATTTCAATCCTAATATAAACTGAAAAATCAAAGAGGTATGTTATCTGTAAAATATTGTATGCAAAGTAAAAGTTTTGTTAGTTCAGTGCATGTATATAACTTATACAGTAGATCAAAATGTATAACCCTTCTGGTAATTCTGTCTCATTTGCTTATTTTCCTTTTGATCTGACCTTCAACACTTCTCACCTCTGCCACGGCGCAGATGGAGCCCAGCGCTTCTCCTCGAAAGCCGTACGTCTCCAGTCGCTCCAGGTCCTCGTGGCTGCAGATCTTTGAAGTGAAATGTCTCACGGCCATCACAGGAGTATCTGCAGCTTTGATTCCATGGCCATTATCACGCACTTCTATACGGTCCAAACCGTAGTTTTCCTGCAAGGTGAAATTCAATACAGACATTGAAATCGATTCATGAATGTGAATTGGAACAATTTAAATAGCAATTAAAGCACACTTTTACCTGCAGGAACATATCGTTTTCCTTCATTAACATATTTAAAGCACAGCAATGATTAATTTACATAATGCTTTATTTGGATATTTTACTAACTGTATTATCCAATACTACAATATTAAACAACCCTGAGATGAACTTGTTACACTCAGTTTCAAATCCTGAGATGCAAATCCATGACTAAAGCCTACTAATGTTATCCAGATTACTTTTAGCTCTGTGAGACCAATCCTCCTACAGACAATTTCACTTATCATTTACTAATCAAGCATATTTTCAAAATCAATAAATAAATACAGTCCTCTTTCTTCCAAAGTCTATCATTTAGACACTTTACCAGTTTAACATCAATGCTTGAAGACCCAGCATCCAGAGCATTCTCCATCAATTCTTTCACAACGTTCACCATAGAGGTGATGACCTGGGAGCTGGACAGCAGCCGCACAGTATCTGGAGGCAGCTGCTTCATGATTCAAGGTAACTGTTGAAGAAAGGTCTGGGGTTAGCTTGGGAGTGTGAGTCACAACAACAACATTACATGGTGGTGGAGCAGTGGCCTGTACTACGAAGCGGGTCAACTGGCTTATCCAGGTAACTTCAGGCGTAACTTTGTGATGTCGGGTGTAAATTCCTGGTTAACCCGTACTACGAAAGGTGGATAGGTGTTACCCGAGGTCTGTTGCCATGGCAATTTACGCTGCATCTCCAAACTGCTCCGAGAAGGTTTTGTTCGTGGTTAACTCGAGGTTATCCTGCACACGGACTACACACCACATCTGTACTTAGTGTTGATGATGAGAAGTAGGATATTAATCCACACCACTTCATAAAATATGTTTAGATTTCATCCTGACTTGTTCCACTGCGGTTGCAATGAAGTTCTGAACACAAAAGCATCACGTTCAGACAGCGAGCCCTGCAGCCTCAGGGATTTTGGAGAGGAATCTTAATTAATTATTAACGGGATAGTTTCTTAGATGTAGCTCATCTGTAGTCTATAATTGAATTCTCCTAAGTGTCTTCACATATTTAGATTGACTATTTCATGTGTCCAAAAATAGTGGGCCAGGTGGGGGTTAATAAACGATTAAAAAAAAAAAAACATAGATGAAAGTGTGAAACTTACAAGAAGAAAAATCGGAAATTCCCTGAAATTAATGTAATAAAAAAAATCGAAAATCATTCTGGTGTTTTCTTCTGAATACACCGAATCCAAGGCAAAGTCTCTAAGGTGCATGATAGTGATTTTGAGCTAAACTCAGTATTTCCTCACTGCTATATCCGATTGCAAAGTTTAATATAACTTTCCAGTGCATGCATAATAGGCTACACTGCAGACGTGTGTGAGAGGTTGCAGCCTTGCAAAGTGAAGTTTCTCTCATAAATGTGTGACTATAATGTCAGAGAATATTCAAGCTTTTTACTTGTAGATTAATCTGGGAAATTAATTTCTGTCTCAGATTATTAACCCTCTCCGCTGGCTCCTTTTTTTCTATTACAATCGACCTTATGTACAGTTCTACCTTTACATCTTAATCGCATTACACATAAAAGAAGAGCCCATAAACTGTGTTAGATTTGGCCGTAAACGTGTCTTTAAACTCCTCAAATCCTGACCATAGATCCTGTCACAATCAACGTGCCAGCATCTTATCCAGCTTCGTAGCACCGTTTAACACCAGTGTAGGCAGTCAGTTTGTCAACCCTGAGTTTGCCTGATAACCCCGAGTTAACTCTGAGTAAGTTGAACTCGTACAGGCCAAAAATCTTGAAAATTGATGAAGAATTCAGGGAGATATATGTCTTCGCTCACAGCAAAATACATCTCCATTAACCAGACTTTCAATGTAACAGACATGATAGGAAGCCATATTTAAACACATCCATGTCTGCTACTAAGTGGTACACACACACATTGTTAGGAAAAAGCAAATTAACACTGTTGTTATTGTTAATATTTTGAGATGTGTCCAAAAGTGTCTCAGAGCCCAATTTCCATAAGGTGCTACCCAACACCAAAGAAATGCTAAAGCAGTTCCACCTGACTCTCCTGGCAGGGAATGGAAAAACAGACATGGGCATCAGTAAGCTGCACAACAAATAAACTGGCAGTTAAAGGCGTTTTACAGTAACGTTAACGTTAGCTTGACTTGACTAATGTTAGCTAAATGTTATCTGCTCTGCAAATTGAGCTGCTTAAACTCGTTAGCTTACGATTATAACGCAGATGTAGAGTAAACTTACGTGGCGATCCTACAAACTCATAGTAAACTGGATATTAACGTTATTAAATTGTTGAAAAGGTTGTTGAATACAAGAGTCCCTTTGATTGCAGCCCACGCTGAATCTTCCATAAACAACAGACACGAGTCACACGCCGGAAACGACCAGATTCCCGCCCCCTTCTTTACACGTTGATTGGTAAGAAGAGACACGAGGGCGGGCTCAGAAAAATAGACGTGAGAAAATTGTACCCTGAGTTCAGACTAACGGGTACACCTTTTTGTCAGGCTACTTAGAATCTCTGCTTTCTGTAGATTTGCGATACCAAAACCAAACACAGTTCCAACTAATCCTGTCTTTAAATAGATGTAACCTAAATGTTAAGATAACCACCTGTTTCGTAGAACTTGCTGGGGGCAGGACACAGCCTGAAGAAGTCAACATAGGGAACCAATTACCTCGGTGTGGATGCCTTGAACGTCTATTTCCGCTCGGGTCAGTCTACGACGCGCTGTCTGCGCTTGTGAAATGCACACATCAACAAGGAGATACACCATTTCTCTCCATAGCAGTTGTCTCTAGAAACACCTCTACTGCTCGCGACTACCTGTAAGTTTAAAATGCTGGGTGTTTTGTGTTACACTTTTAACGACGTAACGCTACGTACTGTTTCCTATTTATGTAATGACGCTGACCAACTTGGTTTAGTATAGTGGTCGTGTGGTCCAGGCTATGTACTGAAAACGTATGTCAAAGGGACGTCTCATGTTAACACGGCTATTTAGCCATGGACATTAAAAACATCTGTTTATATTAGGCCACTAAGAAGTGTTGATTTCAGTTTGATTTTGTAGTTTATTTAAAGTTATTTTAACAGTCGTGCAGTTTGCTGTAGCCACGAAAAGTAATCAGCAAATAGACTAAGCCAGCGGCAGTGGTTTGAGCACGAATTATTTGTACGTAAATATAGTCAAATCTTGTCAAAGGATTCTTTCCAGTTTCTCAGTCATTCCTGTCATTGCAGATACACCTTGCTACAAGAACACGGTGTTTTTATCAGACCGAATATCTGTTACTTCATGTATCAACTTTGAATCTCTTATCTGTCTGAAATGAGCACCGGGCTCTCAAATGTAGCAGTCACACCAGAGTAGTTGTGGACAGTTATGTGGCAGATTGTTACATCTCATGTAATGTTAGACTGAGACTTGGATATAGACTCATTCACAGTGGTCTGTGTGAAATAAATAAATATACTGTCTTTTTTGATCATTTAACAGATGTCAAAAATTGTAATGTTATATAATGAAACTGCTGAATGTTGGGGTGCAGCGGGCCTTGTTAGACAGTCATCGTTGCCTGTAATTACTGCAACTTAAGCTCTGTTAATTTTCTTAAATCCAGTCTGGCAACTGAAAGTATGTCACAGGGCAAAGTTCAATAAGATTGCCCAAGGTGTTTTTTTTATTACATTTAGACTTGTAGGGAGGGCAAAGTGCTACAATGGCACTTGTGCTTCTTCAACGAAAATTGTAAATGATGCACTTCTGCAGTCCCCTGCAGGTAGTGGATCGTCAGAGTATATTTGACATTCTGGGATTCACAGCTTGTATAAAAGTTAATATAGTTTTTACTCTGTCAAAGTCTGATTAAAGGAGGAAGAATGTTGCATAGAATTGTATATTGTTTAGCGAATATATGTATATATTTTATGTTCACAGACCAGAATGAATGTGGGTGTGGCACACAGTGAGGTGAACCCAAATACTCGGGTCATGAACAGTCGAGGGATCTGGCTGACCTACGCGCTTGGTGTTGGAACACTTCACATTGTGCTCTTGAGCATTCCCTTCTTCAGCGTGCCAGTGGTGTGGACTCTAACTAATGTCATACACAACTTTGTAAGTTACATTCTCACACTGTCACTGCTGCTCACCAGGCCAAACCAAAAAACTAGGTCACAATAAAACAATTTTTTGGTAACATTTTGAATTCCTTCACAAGCTAAATGAATCTTGCATGCATGTGTAGCCAAACAGCCTGGTGTCTGTTACTGTCTGCCTTGCCTGTGCACCTGTGTGCTTTTATATTTATATATATATGCTCTATTTTGGGGAGACCGTCCAGCCTGATGCGTGACCTATTATGATAATTTCCCCGCTCATTGTTACATGGCTGGCCTCAAATAAAGAAACAAAGTAGATGTGTGTGACATCATCAAGTAGTGCAAGCCCGAAGCAGTTTACAAGGATTGTGAACCAGAGCCAATGCGGAAGGCTATTACAGTAACCGCTAAGGTCAACTATAGCCTATTGTTTTCCACACAATACAACAGCAGTGTGCTTATTATGCCTTGGCTGTATGTCAGCATTTTAGCTTTATTACTCTTTCCTCTGTAAGGCAGGTTTTCCATTTAAAGCTGAATTCCTGAGTTTTGACAGAGAGGCATGTCATTGGAAATGAGTGTCATTCCCAAGATGGCTATATAGATCAAGGGCCGAAGCAACACACGCACAAAGCAGGGGCTGTGTTGTTTCTACTGGGATTCCTCTGCTTCTAGACTGCACTAAACACTCTGCAGCTCAGACATCCAGAACTCTTGCAATAACCCAGTCTTTTCTCAATAGTTTGTCTGACAAGAATAAACACAGGCTTTTGTACCACAGCCAGCAGCTTTACGGGCTGTTTTTGCACACATAAATATAGAGAAATGGTCTAACTACTCTTTTACATTCCAGTTTTCATATATTGTTTACGTTTCCACTAAAACCTACAGTATTTAATAAAATTCCAAATTCATTTTCATTGAATTTAGGAGAAAACACAAGTCACTCACTTTAATCAGTCGACTATGGCCTTGTTCTTTACGGACTGCACTACTGGCTGTGTTTTTGTCTCTACAGGGAATGTATGTGTTTATGCATGCAGTGAAAGGCACACCCTTTGAGACCCCTGACCAAGGAAAAGCCAGACTTCTTACACATTGGGAACAGCTTGACTATGGAGTGCAGTTCACTTCATCTAGAAAGTTCTTCACCATCTCCCCAATCATTCTGTATGTATTAGATACTATGATTCTGTCTTTGCATTAAAGGAATGTTTTATAGTTATAGCAAATTCTAAGTCATTCACATTGTCTAGCAGACGAGCATTTCGCTGTCATCTCTAAATATGCGTATCGTGACGACGGCATCGAGTGAAACACACATTTATACAACGCTTGTTTCTTGTGTGAGAGGGATTTTGTGGTTTATATTTTAATTAATCCGTCTTTTTTGCTCCACAGATACTTCCTGGCAAGTTTCTACACAAAGTATGACACAGCGCACTTCGTCATAAACACTGCCTCACTTTTGAGCGTCCTGATTCCCAAGCTGCCACAGCTACACGGAGTGAGGCTTTTCGGCATCAACAAGTATTAAGTTCTAGTAAACGCTGTGCCTCATAGCAACATGAGTGAATCCCTATTAGTCTGTACCGCCGATGTGTGTACTAAGTCGTACGGTTTGTGTTAACGTCCCTGTCGTTGTTAGATATATCAGGTTCCAGATGAAATGTAAAAAAAACAAAAACAGGAGTAGGTTTGTAGATGACAGGATGCCATGTATATTATTACTAACGTATGTGAATATAATTTAATGATGTATTTTTGGCCTGCATAGACCTGGGCTGGCCCAGGCATCAGTGAGGCTTTTGGCTGAGTATTTTTTTCTTCTTCTTTTTCTGTCTTTTGCCCTCAATTTAAATGGCAACACAAACTGTGAGTACGTTTCTAGCCACAAAGATGTCCCAAATGTATTTTTTCAAAGATGTTTACTTCCTAAGGGGAGGATCCAGTGGCTCATTGTTTATTGGTACACTCTCATTTTGTAATGGGTGTCAGACTTATGTGAAGACTGGAATCATACTCTTTATTTGCATGATGTCCTTGGTATGTGAATCCTTTCTAATTTGTAGCTCAATCAAAACAGGGCAGGCTTTTTTTTTTTGTGTGTGTGTGAATTTCATGTATGTTAAAGAAAACGTCTTTAAACAATTATTGTTGTCAGATTAAGTGTTTACTGAGGGAGGTCTACAGCGTCTGTGCGATAAACTTACATCCATGTAGTTGCTCTCTTTAGATTATGCATTTTTGCTATAAACAAAGCAGCTAGTCCTGCTTTGTTTGGCCATAGCTCATAGTACTATTGATATTTCTTGTTCTTGATCTAATTAAAATGTTTGCGCCCTCCAAGTGTTCCATCTCTCGCAGTTGTGCATTGTATGGTTCCCAATGATTGTAGAACATATTTTACTATGTGCCTTTGATGTGTGCTGTTAAACTGTATTGACAGTAGGCTCAGCTGTAAAGGCATTAATGCCTGCCTACGTTGGGTGTTTAACCTGTTGTCACTAAAATGGATGTAAATATGCAGTTTTACAACAGTTCCACAGGAGTAACATGAAAAAGCTTGGAAACAATCAGCAAAATACATACAATTGATCTGAAATCAACTTGTATAGCACATAGTTTGAAAACAAACTTCAGGGCTCACTTTAGAGCAGGGCAACTTCAACCTGTGGAGTTGATCTACCCCTCGTTTCTCAGCAACCATAGACAAAATTGGTCATGTGACCATTTTACTTACCCTGTGATGGACAGAGGCCCATGGCATAAGTGATAAGCACTTTTTTAAAAATGGCCATTAAATAGTCGTAATTCTTTTGTGAATTACAGACACATTTGAATCTCAGGTGTTAGTGTTTCAGGAAGTTACAGTATGAGGCTATACAGTCAGCATGAAATTAGCTCTAAATTGCTGGATGACATGTTTGGTAAAATGGCAGGGATAGAGTGATTTGAGCCAAAATATAATAATAATAATCTTTATTTGTAGAGCACTTTTCAAAAACAAGTAAAAAAAATACCTGGGGGAAGTTGAGCCAGCTATTTTATTGTAATTGTACATTCTTCATTTTATCACCAAAATGATGTGAATTTCAGACCAGAAACTATTATGCCATGCCTCTATAAATGGGAGACAGACAGGGCTTCAACTCCTGTTGTGGACAGAGCAGTGGGAGAGCTACAGAATGGGAAGCCCATACGTCAGGTGGCACGGGACATGAAGATTGACAGGATGACTTTATACATTGATACAAAACAACTAGGACCTATATCAAAAATGTAGCTGCAATGAAATGTCAACTGTCATTTGAGTTGGCATGACATTTGACCCTTACTCCCATGTGGCTCAACTTACTCATGTGGGGCAAGTTGAGCAAAGAGACAGTTTATTTTGGATCCAAAGTGATTATTCCCAGAGACCACATCCTGAAATGTCAGTTGGAGACATTACTGCCATGTCCTCACTTTAAGTTCAGGCTCAACTCACCCTGCTCTCCCCAACATACTGAAAAACAAGGACATACGATGTCACTGTTAGTCAAGTCAATGGAAGAGGCGTACCACCTGCACTTCCAAACCGCTGCCAACAAGGAAAATTATAGCATCTCCAATCTTGATACATCAAACTTCACAAAATCTTAACAAGATAAACATTGACTGTATTAACAGTCAATGTTTATGAGAAAACAATTTTAAATGAAAACCTAGACACAAAGTAATCTCCATAAACAGATATCTGCATATGAATGCATCATCTGTTGGCAAGGGACAAGATTTTGGTATCGGAAGCGTTGTGGTTTCAGTTCGTAGTCCGAGTAGTATTGACAGATGCAGCTGCAGTGGAAGCCCTGAAACATTGGCCATCAAGTCAGGTAGGTCTGTCTGCGTGTGAACAGCATGGATGTATTATTAGAACTGGACAATGGACCCAAAGATGGCAGCCACTCAGTCCGATGAATATTTCTAGCGTGGTGCATGTAAATAAGTCTATCTGCGGGTCTGCAGTACTACAGGACACACCCTCTAAACCGTCACAGTTTGGTTAGGTTTAAGAAAACATGGCTTGGGTTGAAATAAGTCCAGTAATCCAGGAAGTTGTTACACAGGGTGTCTTGAAGTAAAGTGGGTGGGACTGGTGTAGTCTGTGAGACTGTAGGGATCCAAAATTCCTAATAGTCATGGTTGACCTTGTCTGCAGTTCAAGGTGTCCTGTCAACAGTTTTACAGTATAGTGGGCGTGCTTTCCAAGATTGCACACCCACAAACCAGCATCTTCAAAAAGAAAAACTGGGACCTCGGTTGCCTGTAGGTGGTGCATAACCAGATTCAAATCTGCAGCTTAATTCTGTTTCTGAGCTGTTTTGCATTCTATTTAAAACAAATGCTCCCTCATCTGGACCTACGCCCTAACGTACCCAAAGTTAGTCTTCAGGGTCATTGGCTCTTTAATCCTTCCAACGAGCCTGTAAGTGCGCACTGTGGTTCTTATTAGTTTTCATCCACACATGTTCTCAATACAGCAAACACCACATGATTTAAAACTTTATTTAAAAATAAATGCTTATGTAAAACAGTGGTTTATTAATTTAATTACACCTGTGATAATTAGAAATCAAATTTCCAGCTCCAGGCGCTGATGAAATTAATACATTCATTATCTACTTTCTTGTAAACTTTCCTTTTATTGTGGCTGTCAGAACCATTTAGATCCTCACACTGCTTTCCCAAGACTCCTTTGTAAACCTCAAAGTGATGGTTCAAATCTTTCTGCGAGTGGATTTTATATTTGGTCCCTAAGGCCCCGTCGGCAGACGCAGTCCCATAGAAGACACGACCTATCCGGGAGTGTACCAGCGCCATGGCACACATAACACAAGGTTCCCGGGTCACATAAAGGTCATACCCAGTGCATATGTATGGCTGAGAGCTCGCCTCTGCATCAGAAACCTTTTGAAAGGTGTCCGAAATAGGCGACGAAAATCGGCAAGCAGGATATCTATCAAAAGAATAACATCCACCGCCCTGGCTCCGAGCCACAAGGTCAATGCAGACCATGACTGCGTGATGAAGGGGATGGTCACCTCTGCAGTCATGACCCACTGCAATGATTCTTTCCATTGCTGGGTCGACCACCACGGCCCCCGCCGCCTCCATTCCCAACTCATTCCCTTCCTTGGCAGCGGTCAAAGCAGCCATCATGTACATGTGCATCTTGGCTTTCTGAGGCGGACTGAAGAGTTCTCCTCTCAGGGCGACGGTCACCTGTTTGTCCTCATGAAAGGAGGTGGGCCAGTGTTTGCTCGCCAGCTCAAACTGGGGTCGGGTCAAGGGGGGACGTGCAGGGACCTTAACCACAAAAAGTTCACCTAATCCGTCACGTCTTACTCCATCTGAGGGGAGCAGAGAGTTCACGCTGGCCGCCTTCATGTCTGGTGCATCACTGACGAGGCACACAAGGACTTCCAGAGGGTGAGGGCTGCCCTTCTCCTTGACCGCCCCGCACCCTCTTTATGTGCTGAAGGCCCTTCAGCGGGTAGAGGTTGTGCAGCTCCCGGATAAGTCGAGATGTCTCTTTCTTGTTGACAATGGGTGCAGCAAACGCCTCTATCAGCTCAATGTCTTGTGACTGCTCATCTGACAGTACAGGATACGCAGCCCAGGAGCCAGTGTCACACTCGGACCCTTTCCAGCGTTTCGTCTGTGGCTCCATTGTTTTGTTGTTGTCCTGTGAAATATGATTTAACACCAAAGTAAAAGTCAGTGCATTTCCACGACAGAGCATGCGATGACAAAGCCTTTCAGTTGTGCTGGACAGAAACTGGTCTTTAGAATACAACCATTTTTGCTGAAAAAGACTTCTGTGCTGCTATTTTGCATTATATTTCCGAGATCAGCCGTGTCCCAACAGTCCAGGCAGATTTTCTAACTCAAAACAACAAATCAGTTGTAATTCAAAAAGATAACAGTGAACCTGTAATAAATACTATACTCTGATTAATAAGTGACACGCTGATGCACTATTTAGTGCAGTTTAATGAGTCTGATGGTGGATTATTCAGCCATGAAGTACAGTGCAGGAGTGTTTTGTTAGATTAGTCTTATTTTCTAGAGTATGCAAGACTTATCAACTGAAACATGCCAACATACATTTGAATTACATTCACATGCTTAGTTTGGAATTAAAGCAGATTTTTAGTAAGCCCAACCAACATACTCAGCAGAACATTTTACAGTTGGAAAATGAATATGTCTGTGCTCTCTAGTGGACAAACTATGTAATGTTGTCAGTTTCAGTTCTTAATGACCTGCAACAAATCTTCAGCATTTCTGTAATGCAATTACTTGCTATTACCAATATACACCTGTGAAAAGCTCAAACTGACCACTTATATCGGCCGTGCTTATCGCTCTGACTCTTAGTTGTAGCCCTTAAATCAATCCACAGTTAACAACGCATACACAGAGCACAACCAATAATTATTTCAGATCTATTTTATGTATGTAGTGATGAAACAAGAAGTTGATGAATCAACAAAAAATGATTTCAGTTTTAACAACTGAATGATTACAATCATTTATCAACTCAAAATACCATTTGGTGGTTACAGCTTCAGAATTGCACGTATATACTTGGCTTTCTGATAAGAAATTGAATACTTCAATAGTTTTGTGGCTATTGATCACATACATTTAATTCTGTAATTAATTGTGTCATTTGTGTCATATGTGCTACAAAGCCCATCATCCTTAAAATATGTGAGAGATGAACCCAATATTTAAACAATTTCTAGTTGCAGCCCTGTATAATGTCCAGAAAAGCTAATACAGCTCCAGAGGTACAGTGAGATCACTTGAAGCAGCACAGATATTTAACAAAGCTGGAAGTGATCCATTATAGACACATGTGAAAAATAATTCATAAAGCAGCCTGGAGGAGACTCCCATTGACATTATGCTTGGTGGAGTCAGTGGCAAACTCAGCATAAAGTAGCATAACAAACTAACATGTCAACATGCAGTCTCTCTTTATTTCTTCCCCAGGATGAGCTTTGTCTTCAAAACTTTGGGTACGTGTCGTATGGTCAGTGACACTCTGGTGCCTCGGGTCAGCGTCTCCCCCGGCAGGGCCCCGGCAGCAGACAGGTTCACTACCTTGTCTGTCAGCGTGTCCTGGGCGCAGGGCTTGATGCCATGAAGGAGACGCTGGTACATTTCATCCTGCAGGATCAGAAGACTGCGCGGCTTCACCAGCAGAGAGAAGAGGAAGCGGTTCTCCTCTGTCTGCGGTGCATCGTCCTCCGGGCTGCCGACGGGCGTGTAGAAGTCAAGGAGGGTGTGAGAGCCCAGGCTGATGGTGGTGACAGTAGGGTGGTACAGAGGGCCGTCTTCGTGAGGCATAATCCCTTCTCCTTGTTTATACTCGTTCACCAACACATGATTGGCTGTTTTCCCGCTGAACGCACCTAGAGAGGAAATTTTCTCACAGTACACCTGGAGCCAGTCAGGCATCGTTTCTGCCAGCATGCCTTTGGGATGTGGTAACCCTCCCCAGTTCTGAAGCCTTCTGCCCGTAAGCTGGGTCCATTTAGTTTTTGGAGACTTATACACCTGCTCTTGGAGGTAGGACTCCTCATCTTCCGAAATGAAATCTGGGATGTAATACACTGTTGGCGGGGCATCATTTACGACAAACTGCTTCAATTCCTCCAAAATACAAGCTGGGTGTTCCATGCCTCCTTTAGAAAAGTCAACATGAAATGCTTGTTAAAACTCAACTCAAAAAAGTGCTAATGCTGGCTAACTTCCCAGGGGGGCTAAAAGGGAGTAAAGTGTACCACAGACACTTTTGATAACTACTACAAAAAAATATTATTTAAATTAAAAAATGTTTTATTTAAATTTACAGGTTATGTAATTAGCAAACTTATAATAAAATATCACCTACAGTATCTCACAAAAGTGAGTACACCCCTCACATTTTTGTAAATATTTGATTATATCTTCATGTGACAACACTGAAGAAATGACACTTTGCTACAAGTAGTGAGTGTACAGCTTGTGTAACAGTGTAAATCTGCTGTCCCCTCAAAATAACACATCACACAGCCGTTAATGTCTAAACCGCTGGAAACAAAAGTAAGGACACCGCTAGGTCAAAATGTCCAAACTGGGCCTAATTAGCCATTTTCCCTCGCTGGTGTCATGTGACTCATTAATGTTACATGCTCTCAGGTGTGAATGGGAAGCAGGTGTGTTAAATTTATTGTTATCGCTCTCACACTCCCTCATACTAGTCACTCGAAGTTCAACATGGCACCTCATGGCAAAGAACTCTGAGGATCAACATCAGCGTTGTTATAACCACAAAGTCACAGCGAGCGTGCTCCTTCCCCCCCCCCTTTTTTTGTTTTCTAGTGTAGATGAAGACACTGGAAGTTGCAGTGCGAGGACAGGGGAAGTGAAGCTGCAGGCATGGAGGAGAGCTCTGACAGATGTGAGAGGCGCCACACTGATGATTAAAATACTACGTAGGCTATAATGTAACAGATCATGACATACACACCATTACAGTCGCTGTGTTATTTTCCTAATGACAGACAGTTGAATTTAAAATAATTGATTTTAGCATTGTAGAGTTTTGAATTTCATGTTGTTTTTTTTACTGTTTGTTGACACTGAATGTACTGAGGCCACGCCCACCACCAACTCTGCTGTTCCGACTTTCCCCTGTTCTCATCCGGTCTCCCAACGACTGTATGATCTGTTATAGTTCACCGACACCTATGAAATGGGTACTAGTTTGTTTTTCTGAAGTTAAAAAGACAGTTTTCAACGAACTGTTGGTTCTTCGTGATGATTCTTACTAAGTTAATCCACGCTTAAGATACTGGGATACTGGGTGTTTCAGCAAAAGCAACTCCGCCAGCGTGCGGTTTCATCAGAAGTAGCTCCTGCATTTCTGCAACCCGTGAAAGCAGCACAGCACACATGCTCATTTAAAAAAATATAAACAACGCCACAACCTAAATAATCTTAAAAACTGCTATATTTTAATTCCGAAGTGACATAAAAACTGCTTTACCTCTTTCGACATCAAAACGCTGATGAAAGTAGAGTTTGATCAAAAAGCCCAGTTAGCTGCACTCGACTCCTCCTGTATGCCTGTGCAACTGACTAAAATGTCCCCTCTAAAAAGAAGTATGACGTTTTTGGACCCATAGCTTATTGCTTTTTTTTTTTTAAGTAAACCTATGACAGGTATAATAAGTTCAACCAAAATGTTCTGTCTCTTATGTAGTTTAAATCTGTGTACACTACGTTTTAAACGTTGTTTTCCATTTAACTAAGTTCACATGACAAAGGCCCAGATGAACATACAATAAAGAACAATCGAATAAAAACAGAGTGCAATGATTATTTATGTAATAATTATATTAAGACAAATATTGCATTCATTTTGCTGCTGATTTCCCCTCTAAACCAGACACGTAGGCCTACACCTTCACATCAAGCACAAAGACGTGAAAAATAGATTCATTCCTCATAAATGTGGATTTGTGGAAAAACAATTTCCCAACCACAATGAACAAGTTATTTATATTCTTCTGCCACTAAAAGTGATCCTGCGGCCTAGACTGAAAGTGCTACAGAGGTGAAACTGGTAGGGTAGGTTCAAACCCCTGTAAGTACCTCAAAAAAGAAATTGCGCACTTCTACCTCTAGGGGGCGCTATACGCAAGGTAATGCATTTGGGCTTTGCACTGACGCTCACGAAAGCGCATATCAAAAACCTTACATCCAGCTGAATCTCGTGATATAGGCCACGCCCAGTTCTGCCTAGCCTTTTCTTTCAAAATCGAGGAAACTGCCAAACCTATTTTAATTAACTCCTCTGAAGCCGCAAGTCCGGTACCAAACTACGGATAATATCTAGACCAAGCTGATAAAAGTTTGTAGAGGAAATTTTGATCCGACAAAAAATTTCCCAATTATAAGCTAACAAATGTTTGCGAAACGCTGAAAACAGGAAGTGATGTCGTATCTTGGGTGAAACTTGAGCCGAATTGTTCAGCATGGTCCCCTGACTCCAGGAACCAAAGTTGACCCTAATATGCCCATAGGTGGCGCTGTTATTGCGGATTAAAGATGTCAAAAAAATCCCATTGATTTACATGCATTTTATATCTCCATAACCACAACTCCGACTGACACCAAATTAGGTCACTTGTTTCCCTGAAAAAGTTGGTTCTTAAAGGTGGCGCTATAATCCAAGCTCAAGTACCGTGGGGAAATCCCATTCATTTCAATGGGGGGATACTGCCGATTCGTATGGTATAGAACTTGCCTCTGTGTATTGACGGCTTCATTTCGCAAAATCGAGAAAACTGGTTTTGTTCATGAACTGGAATGACCGACAGTTTTTTTAAAATACCTGCTACATCCGGTCTGGGACTTTCAGAATAAGTCTTTATAAAATCTACAGCCCCACTCCTATGAGCCATGGTGCCATTGACGGTATATCTCTACGTTAGTATCGAGCTCATTGACTGTCTGTGGTCTAGTTCATGGTCTTATGGTGTTGTGGTCTAGTCCCACGTTGCGGGCAGATCTTCTTGCCTCGACCTGATGCTGCTGGGGCTAAAATTATGGCTAAAATCCTGACAACGAATGCTTCCGGTTCACTTTATATGCTAACAAAGATAACGGAAAATCGCCCCAGTTTTTGTAGGAATGGAAACTGAATGCTTCGTATTTTACTCTCTGTATGAGAATCTATAGTAAGGAAATAACACAAACGTCGCCTTTGAGGACAAAATTTTGTGGCAACACAAATAGTAACAACGGTTCTATTTCCGTTTTTAAAGCGTTGTTAAACATCGATAATAACAAAAGGCCCGTTTTTCATTTTCCGATGGCTGTACACGGATTCTCTTAGGTAGATACCCAGACCCTATCTGTACAAACTAGGTCACACACGTTTTATGCAGTTGGTCCACAGACTGCTGGTCACAAACTTGCTGGTGGTGCACGGAGGTATTTACATGTTACGCAGCTACACGCCTTTGACAGGAAGAACACTAGAGCTTTCTGGCTGCAACTCTAATGGTTCTGTGTTCCTGGTTCGTTTCTCTGAAACCTAATGTGATGCTGTTGCCAAATTTATCGCCGTTTTTCATGTTTAGTGAGCTTAAAATACAATGGGAGCTGAGGTGAGGTCACCCTTAGCTATTAGACTATTTGAACTCACAGTTGGCTAACGTAAGGGTCATGACCATGTTCCCTACACAAGTAAAAGTCCTGCACAGGGTGCTACGTTTGAGACACACATTATGGGGCCCTCCTCCATTTGGAAAAGCACCTTGCTCCAGACTGGTTCTGGGCATTGAGACCAGCTGTGATGACACTGGAGCTGCTGTGCTGGACGACACGGGTGAAATACTGGGAGAGTCTCTACATTCACAGAAAGAAGTGCATCTCAGGTGAGTGTCAGAGCTGCACTCGATTACCACGGTCATTACTTTAGGGCTGTTGACTTATATCCTTCCCTCTACTGCAGGACTGGTGGCATCGTCCCCACAGTGGCACAACAGCTCCACAGAGAAAACATAGAGCGCGTGGTCCAGGAAGCTTTGGAGAGGAGCAACGTGGATCCAAGCCAGCTCTCAGCTGTGGCCACCACTGTGAAACCGGGTTTGGGCCTGAGCTTGGGCATCGGACTCGAGTTCAGTCTGAGGTTTGTGAGGCGGCACAACAAGCTCTTCATCCCCATCCACCACATGGAAGCCCACGCCCTGACCGTCAGGATGCTTCAACCTGTTGCCTTCCCCTTCCTGGTGCTGCTCGTTTCTGGGGGTCACTCGCTCCTCGCTGTGGCTCGAGGAGTGGACGACTTTCTGCTTTTGGGTCACACTCTAGATGAAGCTCCAGGGGATACACTGACAAAGTAAGATCCTAACACGTGGCTGTTGTTACTGGTCACGATGTTCAGTTTGTGATTTCTAAACAAATAAAATAAATTTCTTATGGTTTTACAGGTGGCAAGACGTCTGTCCCTCATAAAACACCCGCAGTGCTCCACACTAAGCGGAGGACAAGCTATAGAGCTTCTAGCAAAAGATGGCGACAGGACAAAGTTCCCATTCAGGACCCCTATGGGCCAAACGTATGACTGCTGCTTTTCTTTCGCTGGGCTACGGAATCAAATTACATTGACGATAATGAAAAAAGAGGAAGAAGAAGGTACGAGGATACACAATGTCTCAGAAATGATTACTATACCCCGTGTTACCAGTGATCAGATTCATAGACCTTATGCTGCAGCAGATATTTTGACTTGTCCAATACAGGCGGAACCAACAGCATGACTTGCTGCATTACAATGTAGTAATGTCTGGAAACATTAATGTTATTAGTGCTTTTCCTGTTCCATAGATGAACAAAATACAAGATGAATAGAGGTTTGTCATGTTTATTAGTGTAAAATGTTATTTACATTTTTTATTTGTACTGCTGAAAAACACGCAGTTTGTGATTTCGATCATGTTTATTCAATAAAACAGTACTTGGCTCCTTATGTTACTAGTTCCCCAGTGACCCCCAGTTGACAGAAACCGTTTAGTAACGTCATGTCCAGATAAATTAGATTAGCAACTCTTTTATTTATTTATTTTTTTCCCTCCCTCCATAGGTATAGAGCAGGGCACGCTGTTGTCGTGCGTGCATCACATTGCAGCAGCTACGCAGCACACAGTCGCCTCTCATCTTGCAAAGCGCACACATCGTGCCATCTTGTTCTGTAAGGCAAACGGTCTGCTGCCATCAAGCAGTCCCACCTTGGTGAGTGTGTTACCTCATTTTGTGTTTTATTTAAATCATCAACAGTGAACAGTGTTAGTGCCCAGCATTGCAGTTGGCACATAGGAGAAAAGGTGCTTCGAAATAAAGTTTTAACTCTCTTAATTAGAAGTTTGATTATAGAAATATTGACAGTTACTGGCCTTAGATCTTATTTATTGCATACTGTGCTTACATTAATATCTTGTATGTGCAGAAATACTGAGAGATCCTGACATCTGACTATAAATTGCTTGTGATTATTTATTTTCAAAAGAGGAGCTCTTACAGGATACGGCCAGCAATATTCTGCATCTCTCATTGTCAATAATAATGTATTAATTTGCAGCTGAAAATAGTCCCCAACAAATACACCATTTACTCCTGTTTGAGTAACTAACCATAACCATTTGCTCAAATAGGCTTGGAGCCGTGTGCCACAGGCAGGGTAGGGTTGTGGGAAAGTACTGAAAGATGGACTAATGGATGACTAATGAAAAAAATCTAGAATAACATCAGCCACATCCTTTAAATCAGAGAACACTGTGAACATGGACTTGAAGATTTCACCATTAACTCTTCTTTCACAGGTGCTGTCTGGAGGAGTCGCAAGCAACCAGTATATCCGCAAGGCTTTGAGCATTATCACTGAGGCGACGGGGCTACGTCTGCTCTGTCCTCCAGCCAAATTCTGCACTGACAACGGAGTGATGATTGCATGGTGTGTATGCCGACGTTCAGTGAGTGAATCCAGTTAGATGCCCCAGTGTAGAGTCCATCTGAGACAAACGTACTTTTTTATTTTTTAACCAGGAATGGTGTAGAACGCCTGAGAGAAGGGAAAGGGATACTGCCTCCGAATGTGGATGTCTACTATGAGCCAAAGTAAGTTTCAGCTGGTCTTAAAATTTCTATTCAAATTTCAGTGGAGAATAAATTGAGAGACCAAACCAAACTGTTCTGGTTTCATTTATCTGTACTGCAGGGCACCGCTGGGTGTTGACCTGACAGCAGAGGTGAAGGCAGCAGCTATCAGGTTGCCGTCAGTCAGGATGAAGATCCCCAACTGAAAGACTGGAAAGAAAACTCCTCAATTTTCCCAGTTCAAAGTATACTATGTATACTAGACGTGTATAAGCACATTAAATGGCTATTTATTAATAAATGTTTTTATACACCTCAGTTAAAATAAAGTTTAATATCCCTTAAAAAAAGTACCCGAAAATCCCAAATCCATTAAGTGAAATCTTTTTTAGTTTGTCATCATGAAGAATGAAAGTGGCAGACCAATGAGCTTGCGATCATAAATTATGGATGTCTGACTTTACTAAAAAAGGTGGTAAAAATCAAGCAGTTTTTGTGTTTAAATAGAACATACCACATTTCTGCTGAATAACATACACAGTATTTGATCAACCTGAGGATTGAAGCAACAACATGAGGGCCATCATTTTCAAACTTCAGAAGATGTGTCTTTAGTTTGATTGTACGCATGTCTATTTGATTATATGTTACACAGAAAGCCAGTTTCTACGACCTGAAAGCTATTTTCATGAAGGAGACAAGTGTTTTAAGGTGCCTTTGTCCAATCGGTCCTTTGTAACACAAGATGTGCACTACCCACTTGTCATGACAAGTAATACACCAGAGTACATTAGCTTTCTAGGATAAAAAAGTGGACTAAACGTACACCCCATTCAATTCTGTCCAAGCCTGTACAGCAGATGCAGTTCACCTCTCATTGAGGCACAAGCCTCATGTTACCGACTAAGCACTACCCTCTAGTGGTTAATTTATGTATGTGCACCTCAACAGTGGGGAAAGGTAATTAAATATAAGTACAAATTGGAGGCACTTGTATTTTCTTTAGTATTTCCACTCCGCTACTTTATACTTCTACTTCACTACATCTCAGAGGCCAATATTAAGTTTCAACCAAGACGAAAAATCAAACATGACAGTGGAGTTTTCCACACACACTGATTTATTTATTGCATTAGTAAAAACAATTGTTCAGCTGGATACAATGATAGTCATGAGTTTGACCACATAAAGACTTACACAAAACTTGTAAACATGTCTGACATACATGTGCATTTTATCATCAACCATGTTGAAACTTCTCTTCTCCAACACTGCCACATCTGATTTCTTGAAGGCTTTAGGTTTAAATTGGATTTAAGAAGAAAAGAATAGTGTTTGCAGTCACCTTTTCAATATGATGATGCAGATTAGAGGGCAGGATATTCACAGGAAGGTTGAACAATTTAAGTTCCTTTCTCATTTCTGGTTAAACCTTTTAAAATCTCACATGTTACATCTAAGCCCCTGATTCCACAGCATGGTGCAATCCTGTGGTTTCTTCTTTGTGCTGCAAATTGAATCAATGTTCACCAAAAGACAAAACTTAAGACACAAATAAAAAAATTCAAATGCTAAAATTGAGTGGTATTTGCGCAAAAATCAAAGGTTTTCACAGGCGTTGGAGATGTTCTTTCTTGCACAGTTTTAACTTTAAAAAACAAAACATGTAGATGCTAGTTTTCTGTCTGGGAAAGCTGTTTAAATACCTCAACACATCTATGTCCTGTCTGCATTTTAAAAAGGAAAAATCCACCCAGAATCTATTCATTTCATAGCAAAACCATTTCAAAAAGATTACCAATAACGATGTAAGGTTTTGGAGTCAGTGACTCAAAGAGCCAAGACTTCTCTCTATATTTGCACCATTGAACTGGTGCTGGAAAATCGTATGGGGTGAAACCAACCACAGAGAGGAAGACATACACTTTTCTACTTCCACAGTAGCTTTGTGCCAAGGGACTCTCAAAAGGCATTCTACGGAAAGTAGCAAACCACTAACTGAAGTAGAAGTGACAAGGCATGTTGGAGTAACATGAGTAGACCAGAAAAGTAAAGTTTCATCACAAAATAACACCCAGAAAGTACTGAAAATCCCCAGTGTATGTACATCTGATGGTGGATTTTCCCCTTACCTATTCATGGTTTCTTTCTAATTGATCAAAGTACAGAAACTAAAATAATTACCAAGATCAAACACTAGAGCTCATCATGTTCATAAATATTATACTCCTTTGCACTGATCAGTCCGTCTCTGTCTTGGTCATTCTTGCGGAATATGTCAGCCATAATCTTCTCATAGAAAGCGTCATCACGTGGCTTTCCACTTTTTTCGTAGTCCGCTTTCAAGTATTCCTTTACCTGAAAATAAAAGAAACACTTCTATTATTAACACTTCAGAATAAATAAGACATATATTGTACTTTTACAACACTCCTCCCACATAAGTAAATAATATAAGTAAAACAGTAAATGGTTTTGATAGCAGGTCATTCACTTCTTCTTTCAATGTGCCATTAACAATCCAGATAACATCATGACTGCTGTAAGCCTGCTAGCACAGTCATTACATTCTTCACATTTAATTTTTGCCCTGAGGCTGGTTGGAAAGCCTGCTATTAAAAAATAAGGCACTAACATTTTTTGTTTATTTGAAGGCACACTGTGATGGGAAACGCATTTTTAGAGAACAGTCTAAGCCAAGGCTGAACTGTCCCAAGGCCCCGAGCCCCTGGTATGAATCAGTTTATGCTAATTTCATAGAATTTAATCAGTTTAAAAGAATTCCCTACTAAATGTATTAAAACGTTGGGAAATATGTTTATTTACTGAGAGAAATTGATACAACTCTCATCTCTTTTAAGTATGGAGCTGGAGCTAGGCGGCCTTTAGCTTACTTTAGCTTAGCCTAGCATAAAGACTGGAAGCAGGATAAAAGTAGTGAGCTAGTGTTGCTCTCTCCAAAGTTAAAAAATATATCTTTCAGCAACACCAAATCTCAGTGATACATGTCAGCTTGTTTGTTTAAAGCATACATAAACAGAGTTTTAAAAGCTGTTTATTGGCTTAGCTAATCACTTCCCGTCTTTAGCTCACTGACATGAGAGTGACATCGATCTGTTCATCTATCTTATGGGGTAAAGCAAATAATTGTATTCCCCAAAATGTCAGTTTTGTTATTTAACCATGTGGCCCTGACAAAAAGGCAGCATTAAACTCTTGTTTTTAGAGCAGCATTATTTTCTTTTTGTTCTGTTTGCCAGGTAAGAGTAAAAGGTTTTGCCCCATGGCACCCTAGCATGTTCACCCAACCGTGGTTATTACCATAATAACAGCAACTCCAGCATTATTTTTTCTGTTTGAGCTACCTTTGTGATAATGACCACCTTGTAAATGATAGTTACCTCGGCCTTCGTGAGACTATTGTCTTTATCAAGGTCTATGTTTCTGAAAGCCTCCATGGTGCGTGGTCCCCTGGACACAGAGTAGACCTCCACCTCAAACACCACCGTAGCATTGGGAGGCACTGGACCTATTTATTCAGGAGGAATAACAGCACATCAAGATTTTACAAGACAACTTATAATGCCATAATCGTGTCTCATAATTACTGATCATTTTCATAATGATCTAGCTTATAGGATGGAAAATGTGAAGTTTGTAAAATATTTCAGGAAAGATGGAGATACACTTCAAGGAAAACATTTTTACTGAGTTTATCTGGTTGGTGGGTCTGCTACATTTTCAGACTTTGTGAGGAACTAAACAAAACAACTACTAACTACAAAAACAAATGAATCATAGGATAACGTAGTAGTGATTTCCCTTCAAAAGCTAAATTCTACAAAATATAAAAAGGCCCCCAAGAGATATGACATCAATCCATCAAGAAAAGAAAATATTGCAACTAAAGCAACATGCAATTTAAGTGGGAAAGAGAGAAAAAAAACTAGATAGAGGCTCTCTGTTGCAGTGAGTTTTCACTCAGCAGCTCTCAGCCTTGGAAAGATTTACATATATACAATTATATTGCAAAGTCCTGCAAGAACAACAATGCACACTCACCAAAAACATTTCCTCCACAGCCAGAGTGAAATCAAGTATTGACAGCAGAAAGGCAGAATCCCAGGCTATAGGCAACACCACCATCAGATCATACCACAGGGCAGTGATGAACACCAACATGGAGAGGTTTGTTGGAAATAGTAGTGAAAGGTAAAAGGTAAATCAGCTGTTAGTTTTCTGAAAGTGCTCCAGTGCATGCAAGAAAGAGTGAAATGAAGCAGAGACCTTTAAAACTTTGTGCATGCTCACAGTACATGCCATGGGGGGGGGATCAGTAGCAAATACTGCGAGGGATGTGATGCGCTAAAGTGCTGTAAAAGAAGACAAGACAGCATGAAGGGAGCTGCTCTGACAAAGAAACAATATTACACAAGACAGTTCGTAATCAGTTACAATACTTTTACTCATCATATGGCGTACTACTCAGCCTGTCTCCAGCGGGCTGGATGTTTTACCACACAGGGAGTTTCCAATGAAAAGATGCTATTGAATTGCATTATGGGAAGTGTAGGATCCATTATTTTTGGAGCCTGAAACATACTAAAAAAATACATTTGCCAGTGATTATCTGACTGCTTATTACTCCAGTGATGAAATAAATCCATGTCAGAACCATTTTAAGTTTTAAGTCAAGTAATATTACAGATTCTCCAGGTTCTTCAGGTAAAGGGCTGACATAAAGTGTTTAAATGAATGTCTGTATCACAGCAACCCTTTTGAGGTACAGTATTTTACTGATGCAGCATCTGACATTTAAGGTCTGTTATAATTAGTAGTATCATTATAATAATACAGCAGTGAAGGGAAATAAGTGTTGTGTGAAAAATGTGCTTCATGTGTCTCTCTTTCAGGATGACCCAATTATTAATTAGATTTATTTAAATATTTATTTTTGTTCTATTAGTCAAGTAATCTAAAATCATATTGAGAATAATCAATAAATTTGTTGCTAGATTAATCGTCTAATAAAAAAATATTGTTAGATTAATTGATTTTAAAAATAATTGTTAGGTGCAGCCCTAGGGACTATTATGTAATTTTGTGTAATTCTTGTGTAATTCTACATTTTGGCAGGGGCAATAGAAACCCTCTGTGTATTAATTTACTTACCTTTGCCTTTTTCTCCAAAGGCCAGGGCAGGTGGAACAGTTATTTTCCGCTTCTCTCCAGGACACATATCTTCCATCCCTATATCAAGGCCCTTGATGACTTGTCCGACGCCCAGCACAAACCACTGGGGGTGTCCATCTTTGTCTGATCGACTAAAACAGAAAAAAAGAGACATCCTGTCAATCAGATTTGCAGGGCACACAAGCTTTTGAATAAATTTGAGATCTTGGCTTATGACATATATGATGGCTTTAATCTAAATTTATTTAGAACGTCTTCATTAAAAATGAGAGTGGCTGTATTTTCACCTATTTGTTATGTTTGCCAGAAATGTTTCTTTGTTTTTGAGCTTTTGGGGGAAAGTGTATTATTGTCTTTCAATGTCAAGGGAAGGTACAGTCTTGCTTTTTTGTTAAATCAAATGTAAGATTCAGCCCCCCTCCCCACTACAATCATTTTCTTACAGTCCCTTAATACTCCAGGTGATAACTGCTGAATCAGGAAATAATAAACCAAAAATCACAATATTTAGTGTCCCTATCATTTAATAATAAACTGTATTTATGTCAAACTGAAATAGAGGCGTTTACAATTTTACACCACACATAAAGAAGACGTGAGCATAGTGTAGTGAGACCCCTAGTGATCATCACTCACTTCAAACAAAACAAAGCAGTAATTCAGTGATGAAGTGCCTGCAAACCTGCATGTAGAGTTTCAAACCATAGACTTTGCTTGCGAAGATAATATCTATAAACTGCTGCTTTTGTCTCACACCACCAACCTGCAGTAGAACTGAGACCCATCTTTGGCGAGGTACCCATCGTAATGAGCGTTCATCAGATCTCCTCTTTTGCTCTTTGGGGTGCACGTCTCGGGCTTGAACAAAACTTCCATCTTGACCTCGCCGTCCAGCTCATCTGCTGTCGCCCAAACAGACCATAAACTGAGCTGTGAAGAGACAAGCAGGCACAGTGTGCAACTTACTAACCTCCACATCATGCCGCTGTGTATTCGTGGCAACTTCTGAAAGTGACGCCTGAACACCCTGAAGGACGTGGAGAGCTTAACAGAGGCCTTTAGTGCCCTGTGCTGAGACTGTCAGGGATTTCTGCCTCCTAGTGCCCGCCCCTCTCCCACTCCGATCTCTCATTAGGCTAGAGAAGCATGGAGGGGCGGTGGGGCGGTATGCATCCCAAGCTTTTAGACAGTCTATGAACCTGAACCTGCCTGACCAAACTCAGGGCCATGAAACAACTTACAATTCGCAGTGCTAGATAAATTATACTAATGGCCCAGATCCCATTGTCTTGTGCTACACCAAACCTTATACATAATTTTGTAAAATGTTACAACAGAATACTAGGGTGACATTTGAGTACATGTACGTGTACCAAAACATACATGAAAATGAACAAAATACACAGAAAGTTGTGTGTGACTGGTTTTAGGAGTTCCAGGATTGGTAAGATCAGTGATGACACTTTAAACTACACCTTGGTGTGACAAGACGAAATGATCTACCAATTGGAACAGAGCAAATATATAAAATGTTAGAGGTAACTATCAGACAAAGTCATTAATTTAAACAAACACGTTAGTCAAAATGTAACAAATGTTGTGGCAGCAACAAATTATTCTTTTTATTGTCTTTTAAAACAAAAGTATTTCATTCACACTTTGAGAATGTAACTGACATATTACCTTACTAACTTAAATATAGCCGATCTCAGTATATCCAAAAGGAGCCATCGTTTCTTTATTGACACATTTAGTAAAGACACTCATTAATAGGCAATATTCATGATGTTGATGAACATGTGCTAGAAAATTCCGTCTGAAGCGGTTCAATCGTTTAACGGGAATTGATCGACATGGAGACACTCCAATAGCTAACTTGAGAGCGTCATAAATTATCTTTGGAGGCGCACATCACCGAATTTCCACCAATAGGAGCAGCGGGGCGTGGACGTGCGCCTGGATTTATCTGTCGATGCCGGTGGCTGACTCATAGCCTCTCAGACAGTCAACGTGGTGGAAGACATCTAACAACCCTGCTGTTGCTATTGGCTATATTTGGAACTACGACTTTCTCTGTAATTGCCTGACAGGATTGAGATGTTACAGTTTAGGTGTTCGACAGTGCTGAAGGAGTTGTTTCAAACCACCCTCAAGCGTCCCTCGTCCGGTTCTAGACAGAAGACCTGGTTACCGAGCCGCCACTGCCGCTTCGGCACCGCCTCCGCTGATGCCAGAGCCCTGTGTACTCAACTGAAGGTGCTACATGCCGCTGCGCATCGCCCTGCTTTCCGCACCGCGCACTTCGCTGCCCCTTCCCGCTCCTACTGCGTGAAAACTGAAGATGCCGTGGAGCTAGACGAGCTGCTGAAGAAGGATGGGGCCAGCAGTGAAGCAGCCAGCGACGAGTAGGTTTCAAGTACTTCCTTACGAAATAAGCTGTATGACTCCACGGTAGGAGAGGTTATGGCCGGCGTTTATTGCGAGACATGACGCATAACGTTATAGCCGCAGGCGGATTCTCCGACCTTCACAAACGCTATAAATTACCCTTATAACAACCGCATTAAGTAGCTCTCAATAACTACATCATAACATGTAATATATAAATGTAACGTTATTTCTTATAGACTATTCCTATGTAATAAATAAGAAATATAACGTTAGCTAGCTAACTGAAACTGTCTATTAGCACCAGCTAAGTTAAGTTATCAACCCACTTGTGACATGTAGAAATTAACTGTCACCGGTTGCAGCCTCCGATGGCTTTGTGCCCAGGAGTACAAACTATTTATAAACACGCTGCCTTCAAACACCGGCGTTGCAACTCAACTCAAAGTTAATTAGGATATTAACGTTAGTTGGCTTTGAACGACTTGTATGTAACCTTAGGCTAACTATCAGTTCTTGTGGTGATAACCATGGAGATAACCTGCAGCATGGCGTGACAGTTTTGAAAGTGAATCAGCAGTGGCCCTCTGACAGGACCAGGATGAAGTGGAGTGTAAAAACGGTGGGTAGTGATGGCGCAATGGACAAGATGCAAGACTTGTGAGAGACCCAGATTCAATTCCCCACTGTGACCCATCCACCAACGTGTCCCTGAGCAAGACGCTAGACCCCTAGCTGCTCCAGAGAGGCGTGCGACCTCTGACATGTAGTTGTAAGTAGCTTTGGAATGAACGTAAAAACAGCCGCGTTCAAGTTTTATATAAAGCGAGCGGTTTACCCACTGATTGACTTTCGGGGTGGGCGATATGGCACTATACTAATATCACCATACATCAGGATATTTCTGCTATAGATACACTTGACAGCAATGTTACTTTCGCTTTCAGCCACGCTTGTTGTTGCAGTGTGTAATGGTGTGACGTCATGACGTACCAGATTGCCGTTATCATGATATGAAGTTAAAGAATCATTTTATATTTTGTAGGTATAGACAATCAAGATTATATGATATATTGTAAACGATTTATCGATGGATTGATATGATGGCACATCCCTAAGCTACATCCAGCAGCCAATGTTCAAAATACTCAAATGCAACAGAGTGGAACCAAACCTCTAAGGATAATTGATTTTTTTCCACTTTGTTGGTTGGTTTTAATAATGATTTCTGCTAGGCTGGAGATCATTCTTCCTTAACTGGTTTGTATGGATTCTGGTGATTTCTGCATAGGAATGGCCACAGAACAGTAGCCTGATTCAAAAGTAGAAAACAAGAAAATCCTGTTTTAATCTGTGTGGCTTCAACTGCTTCACATGACAGCAATGAATATAAAATGTATGTTTAAATTTAATGTATGTTTGAATGAAAATGGTGAGTTAAGATATGGTAATGTATTCTTTCAAATATAAAAATACCAAAAAAAACAACTAAAGCGGTTTAGCAGCGTTGGACAAGCCCATGACGCGCATCAGAGTGTGCTGCAATAGCGGCGCAGTGGCCTTAGGTTGGAGATGCGGCTCTAAATTAAGGCTAATAAATACTTCTGTGTCAAGTCTACGCCCAAGCCATGCCTTCGTAAGCATTTATCCTGTGCGATGGTGTCTGCATAGCACTGCAATTACACTGCCAAAATGCTAGTTCATGTCATGATAACTTAGCTTTAACAACTTATCAACTCAACTAGCTAGAACATTTAGGTTACAGTAAGTTACTGTAACCTAAATGTTTCCCATGTCAGGACTAGCAAACTTTAGTACAGTGTTAAAAATCAAAATAATAAATCCCATGTACTTCAACAAACCCTTTAAAAAAAATATCAGGGTTGGGCTGAGCTACTCGTAAAAGACTTTGTGTCTGTAAGGGCGGAGTCAGATATTCTGTAATGTCTGATGACAAAATGTGCTTAAATTGTCTGAAGTGGCATGTCTGAATATGTGTGCACATGTTCAGATCCTCTGGATGACACTGCCAATTACTCTCAATGGGATCAGCCCAAAAAGAAGTGTTGATGCACGTGATGGGGAAGTTGTGTCGACCAGATTACTGACGATGATTCACAAGATAAATCTCTAAAATGAAATGTGGTTAATGGCTCACACATCATTCTGTGAGTCATTCTCATCCTTACTCTGATTCCTTTATTTTGAAATTGATCAAAATTTCATCATTTGTTTGACACAGCAGGGTTTAGTTATCAAGCTGTGGACTGGTGTAAGGTGTAAACTAGTGGTGAATTTAAGAGGGAAGGCCAAATTAATGGAGCTGTAATAACTGAGGAAAACACAGTGCTAGTTTGTTATTGCCTTATGAAGGGCTCATAGACCTGTTGCAGAGAAAGAGCTTTCTTGGCTCACAGCCCGTGACCCGTAGCAATTAATGGAATCAGTTACAGCTTTAGTTGGAGGAGGTGGACAGGATTAAGATATCAAATTACTGTTGTGATATACATGATAGAAACAAAGTGAAAAGCACACTTCGTTAAGCTGTTACACATTGGTCAAGGCAACTAAGCCTGGTAGGTCACTGATGTGGCCCTGCTAAGAAAATCCCCACACTCTTAGACCACATAGGTTAAGTCTTTGATCTTTATCTCGAACTTGGAGCCATGCTGTCTCCCTTTCACATCTTTGAATATATGGTGTTTATATACTATTATATATATAATAGAGAAATATAGATGACATTCCATCAAACTAATTTTGACAGCTACTTCCGGTCCCGCCCCCATACTGGAAATGTGTATGTAAGTGAAGAGGGGTGCGTACATCCTTCCGTTGTGTGTTTTTGACTGGTAATTGGAGGAGGTTTTTCATTGATTTAAAGACTTTATTAAGTAATAAAACATGAACTTGAATGAATTAACTAGTAGGTGTTTATGGCAATAAATTTATCATTAAAAAAAGTATAGCAGTGAGTTATAAGTAAAGGAGGAATCTCCGGGGCCAGCAAAGGATCAGTATGTGGTTTCGTCATTGATTTGGAATCAAGTCAGTCTTTATTATTAAACAAGTAAAGAATAAATTGAAATACTTACAGTAAAGCAGTAAAATTGTATAACGGTGAGTTAAAATTAAACAGATTTTTAAATTACCTTCAACAGCCGTTAGCCGTGAGCCAATGATAAGACACTAGGATGGGTTACCATAGGCCAATGATGGGAGTCTGTGAAAACAAAACGAGAACATTGTCTTCAAGAAATTGCCAAGAAAGAGGGCACTTGGATCCTTGAGCAGTATCTACCTACCAAAGAGGGGACCTCCATGAGGTGAATTTTTTTCAGCTAATGAGTGTTTGTATCTCTTAAAGACTTTTTGTTTCTTTCAAAAATGGAAATTTTAACATCATTGTTAGTAATATTTAAACATTTCTCTGTGATACAAAAATATTCAGGGCCACTTTATTGAGAATTTACAATAACTTGGATGCATGCACAAATATCAAAGATTGCAGTATTAGCAGCAAAAGGTACTTTGTCCAGGGTTCAATTATATAAAATGTCTTATTACACTAGTGCAGTCATTTAAACTTTCTCTTAGGGGAATTCAGGTTTGTCTGTGGTGGTTGGTCATTTTTATGACCTTTGTGGAATGGTGAAGTAGGTCTTTTTCAAGGGCCTTCATCTTTATCTTATTTTGTATTTGCTCTTCATAATTATAAAGTAGGACAAAAATGCTCAGCAGCAAGATCCTTTTTTTGTTTTGTAAGTAATCACTAAAACAGGTTTATCAACTTTTACTAAACCTTTGGAATAATTCTGTCCCAAATATTGTGAAATGAAATTGACCAGTTAAAGACAAGATTTCTATCAATTTTGCAATGTACTTGTTTCTTCAGTCTAAATTTTAAAGGACTGCATTTTATTTATTGACTGCATTACAGAAACGTACATTGTTGGCTGGCATGTAATGACATGGAGTTCCCTCTTAGTTCCTTCTTAGCTAGCATGGAGCGACACTCCAGCATGGATGAATAAAATAATGGGATATTTCTATTAAGAGAATATTGTAATCTAAACTAAATATTTTATTTGTAGTTACACTTACAAAATAAGGACAGTTCTTGTGTAGCAAAAAACACAAAACTACAAGTGTTAACAGCGTCCAAATAACTCTAAATATATTCTTTCAATAACATATAGACGATGTCCCTGATTCTAAACTAAAGCCTTACTCATAACTAAGTCACTAGTCACACTACCAGGCCTCCTCTTTCCCTTTAGTAAAAAAAGCTAGAATTATAAAAAATTATAGTTTACAACTTTATCAACTGGAAACTTCAAGAGCTAAAGTTTGATCCTTCTACTGAGAACCAGCTGCCTTTTGCTAATTAGGGTTTATTAGACTATTACAGAGGTCATGAAATCCAGAACCCTTCCCTTGGGGATGAAGTATTCAAATGCTAGTTAGCTACTTTGTTGACATAACAGGACAGTAGTTTTCTGTTGATGAAAATAAAACAGAAGGTTATAATAAATCTCCTATAGGTAAAAGAATAGGAAATCAGCTTCTTTATGTTGGCTCAACCGTGATCTGTGCTAATAACATTTATTGCAAGTTCCAAAGCTCAACAGGAACCAGCAGCTTCAACAACAAAAGTCTGTATATCTATATACCTATCTATCATATGACTTTTTATTTTTTATGTTATGCCCAGATTTAGCATGGGGTTCTTGACTAGCCAGAACAGGATGTTCAGCAGTCTTACACTGTTTCATTGCATGTCTTGCATTCAACCATAGTGGCTAGTTTGCCCTTGACAATAAGGTTTTAGTAAAAAGTCTCATCACTGCTGCAACCTCTTTTTTGAGACCATGCTGTTTCTATTGTCCCCTTCCATAGCATTTTTCAGAGACACTACAAAAGAGGAAAACAGATTGCCATCGATAACCCAAACTCTAGGGTTAACTCGTAATTTTCATTACATTTGTTATATAGTAAATCTACAACTTCAAAGCAA